CGGGGCCCCACGCCTGGTGACCGTTTGATAGGGGGAGAGCTGACCATTTTATTGCAGTTGTAGGTTGCACAATGCGTATTTGATAAAGAGGGGCCTTGGGTGACCAGCGCGCATTTGTGTGTGTTTGTGTGTGTGTGTGTGTGCTAGCAGGGGACAGGGGAGGGGGGCGAAATGAAAATAAATGCGTACAAGGTTTTACTATAGTGGAAAACAAATTGCGAAGCTCTAAATGGTTTTTCTTTCTGGCTACCAGACAAGAGGAGAAAAGGGACGCACACATCTGTCTCCAGTCCCCCAAACCTAAAGGCCAGCAAAGACGGATGCGAATCCAAGTGTTATTACAGCGGGGATTTGTCTTGATTTACCCGGCTCTCATGAATATGAATCTGTGTGAGGGCCAGGAGGTGGCGGGACCCCTCATGGAATTACCCCCTCTGCTGTCACCTCTGGGAGGCAGGGGCTCGCTTGTCAACCACAGGACCGCGGGTGCCGAAGTCTCCCGGGGCCCTCTGATTTGGGTTGGGGTGGAGCTGGCGGGCAGTTGCCCTGCCCCACCCCGGTCCGCTCTGGGGGAAACTGGGCCCTGCTGGCACCCCTGGTCAACCTGCTCTTCCAGCTGCTGAGACCGAGTTCAGCGCGTTGCCCTGCACAAGTGAAAAACCAGGCAGCTCCCGGGGGAGGTCTGCGCTTCCACAATAGCCGCTTCCACGTCCTGCCTGGCGTCGGCGTCCCAGTGTGTCGGCGTCCCGATGTGTCCCGGTGGGATGCAGCGCGCGCGCTCTGCCGGTCCTGAGAAAGCCCCAGCCCAGTCCCAAGCCTGGCGATCCAGGTCCCTACGCTGGGCCCGAGTGCAAGGCAATTCTACTTGGGGTTTCCTACACAGCCCCGAGCTAAGGGGTGGATGGCAAGGCGGGTTGCTGGCCTGCAGTGCCAGGAGCTCGAGAAGTGTTCGAGACTGACTCTTATGGGACAACCATGTACATGGGGCATCAGATCGTAGGCTGGGGCTAGGAGTTCACTGTGCAGCCCCTGGGAGCTGCGTGTCCTCGAGTTGGCTGGCCGAGGGTGCCCTGAGCACAAGTCACCTTCCCGGGGCTAGGCGGCTACCGGCCCTGCGCCCCCAGGCTCCGGGCCGCCTCCGGTGCTCTTGGGGTGCCGAACCATCCCCACACTGTCTAGGGGCGCCCCCTGCCACCCTGCGTGGTGGGGTCAGAGTGTCGCGATCCTCCTCGGCTATGTACGAAAAACCCTCGCAGCGCCGGGGACCACTCACGGTCCGCTGAGCAAATGCGCTGGACTTCATTTTCCCCTTTGTGGGCCTTGTAGGTTTATTTTGCTCGGTGTCACCATCCCTCCGCCCCCAGCCCTGGCCCACTGTCCCCCTGGCCTGTCTTTTGTGGCCCGGGGTCCTGCTTTCTGCTCAGAGATGAAAGGCCAGGCCTCAACCCCAACCCCAGTGCTGTGTTTTGTTCCAGTTGTGCTTCTACACGCGAGCTCTCCCCTAAAAGTTGTACCAAATGGTTAATTTGATTATTCCAACTATAGACCAACTGCTTCAGCGGCCTCCACCACGCGTCTGGGAGGAAAAAAGAGACCATCTATAAGAAATAATCTAATAAAAGTGAAGTGTAGAAAAACCCCTCCTGATTTTCAACCGGCACAAATAGAATTAAGGCCTCAGCATCCTTTTTCCCAAACAGACCTTTTGTCCAGATCACAACTTCAGCCAACCAGCCGTGTGTACAGTGCCTGCTATTTATTTTCATGGAGCGGGTGGGTAGCGAGGTGGATTGATGGATAAATGGTCGCAGGGGTAGATGGATGGTTTGTGCCATCGCCCTGACTTGCCTTTCTTCATATGTGTACACGGTGAATTTTGCTTTTTCCCCTAGCCGATTCCTGAATCAATCACAGAAAGGCAAAAGGCGGGGGGGGGGGGGAGGGAACATCACTGAAAACCCCCAAAAAGGGAAGAGGCGGCCACATATCCACCATGAGAAAAAAAAAATGTTTACATGCTATGTAACACCCAATGAAAAAGGTTGAAAGTTTAAAAGGAACTTTTCTTTCCTTTTCTTTGCCATTCATTGGAGGGTTTCCTTTTCTTTCTTTCTTTCTTTTTTTTTTTTTTTCTTGAAAGTCAGAAAGAATGTTAGAAGACAAGGAAACAAAACAGCAAACAAAATGCCATTGTCTTGTAGTAGCAATTCATGTCAGCTGCCTAATGCCTCGCTCCTAGGAGGCTGTTCTGCCGCTATTTTACCTCAGGCAAAGCACAATAACACGGGAATGAATAAAATATTAAATACCAGTGAGAGTTTCAGGGGAATTTTCTTTTTGATTGCTTTATTTGGCATTGCAATGGAGATGGTCCCAACTTCCAGCCTTAGAATTCTCCCAACCACAGAATAAGACACTCTTTGCCCTTGCGCTTTCCAGGAAGATTTTTGCAGGTGACAACCTTGGCTACTCACCTGCACCAAGAAAATAACCTGGAGGGGATTTGGGGCAGACACCGTATCCTCCAGAACATCCAGCAAAACCACAGCACTCCCGACCCTGTGACCTGCCGCCTTCTCCTAGGGTTTTGCAATTTGTACCACACTTTTCCTTTGCCTAGCAACCATCATACACACATTTCATAATGGAAGCTCTTTGAAGTTCTGGTAACTAACTCCCTGGCACTGTGCGACTTAATAATTAACTGATTGACAATAGTGCATTCAAGACAATTAACACAGTGCGTGGCATCTGGAAAAAAACCTGGCGAATGTAATGGTGATATAGATGCTGAGGATATTGGTGAAGTCGCCTTGAATTTGGAGTTGAGATGGTGCTTTGATGTACCATCTTTTCTATTGCACATTTGTCTTGCATGAAGAGTAAATTAGACAAATCGGAGAATATCTATCAAATGAGAAAAAAAATAAAGGCAGAACATTGTATTTCTTAAATAATTTGCTGGAAAGCCTATATGTATTGGTAGGTTGGTTAAATTCTTTGTTCTATATTACATGCAATATTTATGCAGGATGACTTCTGGCAGGTGAGTAAATATTATCGTTCAGGGTGCTGTTCCTTGAAAAGGCATTTGCTCTAGGTTTGAGTTGGAGTTTTATGGGTAGCACAGAGGTGATATTTCCTGGTGTGTGTGTTGGGATTGGCTTTGCAGGCAGCTCCTAAGTGCTGGGCTTTGTCGGCGATAGGGTATGGGTGCCTGTGTCCATCCCTTTAAGGTCACCGTCATGGGGAGAGGCCTGCTCTGCTTTGTCCCTCCTCTTCTCCATCGTAGAAGGGCATGCTGTGATTAGCAGTCAGGGCTGCCTTGTTACCTTTTGGCTGCAGTTTGGCTAATAGTAGCAACATCTGCTGGGCTGGTGGTGGGGAGAGAGAGGGCATTTGATCAGAGGCACAGATGTAAAAGTGGCATCTGCTTGGAACAAAGAAAAGA